CTCTTGGTCACGTGACTGCCGCCCGTCGCCCCGTCCCCTTCTTCGACGGCGACATAACATCGTGTAACATTGCCAATTAAACCATATGTGTGTTAGTGTTTTGCCCCGAGGCCATGGCCACTAACGACGGTCGCTCTCTCCTCCCTCAGGGCCCCGGCGAGGAGTGCGGCGGCGAGTGGGGCGAACTCGGCAAGTGCGGCGGCGGCATGTACTGCTCGTGCGGCTTCTGCTCGGGCTGCAACACCAACCTGGAGTGCTGGTTCGGCCACTTCTGCTAGGGCTTCCGCCTCTGCCACAGCCCGGCCGCTTCTCCCTCCCCCGCTTCCTCCTTGGGCTCCCCTCGCTGCCCGGGTCCAAGGGCCGCCCCACCGTCGAGCTGAACGTGGGCGGGCCGCCTCGGGTCCCTCTCGGGCCTTCTCCTTGGATATGAAACGAAGATACTACACTTACGGTCACATCGGGTTCGAGTCAAGGTCTGCAAGAGAAAATGATGCCTCTTGAGATGCAAACGTCCTCGCAGGAGGTTGCTGAAGTTCTCTGGCCCTTCCGTCGGTGATCGCGAAGGAGCCTCAGTGCCAGGCTCCGTCGCGGGGGTTTCACCTTCACTTTACCTGAGCAACGTTGACAACTGCAGTCGAATGGTAAACGTTTCACATCTACTGGACGAAAGTGTATTTTGCTATTTTTATATACCCAATTATATACACCAAAAAAACGATGGAAGCTGAGCGTTGTTATATGTTGCACATTTAATCTTGTGATAAAGGAGTACAAATAATATTAGACGTCTTAAGTGGCTAGTTAAGGCCACCCCCTCTCCCTGACCTATGTAATAAGGACCCCCCCTCCCCCCGGCCCCATCACACCGCCCGCAGAAGTGCCATGGGTTCGACCGCCGCGACGCCGCCGACCCTGACTGCCCCATCCTGTTCATCCCAGCAGCTGCTCGTTATCAATACTCATCCTCTCCAGCTAAAGAGCATTCTCTGGCTGTGCTTCGTCTCTCTCTCTCTCTCTCATTCTACACACACACACACACACACAATCTTTCTTTCTTTCAGCACAGATCTCCACTACTCACCCCATCGCCCATTAAGAGAATTATTGTATCCAACGGTTTCGAAACCTGTCCTATAACAATAATTAATGAAAGCAAGTCCCACAGTGCAGTAAAAACCATGCAAGTGAAGGGAAAAACTAACCCTCTTGCATCGTCCTGTTATCCTGCACTGCTCTTTTGTCCCCCAAAGGCTTATACAAGTGTATTTCATTTTATTCACAATAAAGGTCGTAAACATCAACCATGTATGTTTAATTAATACCGGAAACGTGGTAAATGATCAGACCGATGTCTTAAAACAATAAAGGATTCAAAAGTATAATTTGTTAACGAGTAATTAACATATATATTCTTCCCATTACTTTTCCGGGAAAATTTATACAAGGAGTCCATTGAATACAAGTTTATATCATACAAGGTAAATAAAGAGAAAGAGTTTTCTACATATATTTTCCCTGGTTAATCAGTATAATATATCAATATAAATTACAAGTCTTACCAATAAACTAAACATATCGAACGTGTGTATACTGAAGGTGTTCACGGATCCATATAACTATAGACTTAGGAACAATAATTATTACGTAACATCCATATCTTATAAGGAATCAAATAAGAAAAATCTTGAATGTATTTTTATTGAAGTACATCCGTATTAAGCACTAAATGCAGTAGCACAGTACAGTGATACATACCTACGTACATATATATATACATACATACATACATGTATGTATATGTGAAAGTACGTATTTTCTTTATCACAGTGACTACCGTAAAGTATGTCATTGATATCTACTGAAATGCAAATAATTATGAACGAGCTGCAATTAGCTACCATAGAATCTTTTATAATTATATAATATTGTTACAATATTATAATTTGCTAGATACGCATCAGTTCATACCCACAACTGTGCGCATCTGTCTGATTTAATTTCAGCTAGCAACAAAACCGCTGAAAATTATTTTTTTTATTACAGTTCCCATAGCTACAGTGGAAGCAAAACTGAGTTAACAAAATAATGATATAAATAAAAAAGCTTTTCTTTAAATTACTGTTAAACTTTGCCTATAATATGGTTACGCAATAAGTATATCAGAATATAAATATATATGTATATGTATACAGTAGAAGTTATGGAATACTTAAAGCTGCTAAAGCATATCTCTTCCTATATAACATTACATTCCTAAGCGGAACATTTATTCTTTAGGACGCTCCTCTCAATTCCTTCCTGGTAAGATGTCCACGGAGAGCAGCCTGTATCCTAACAGCTGCCTGGATCACAGCTGGATCACTGAGATCCAAGCTGGCCTGCGCTCTCTCCCTCAACATCTTGCGGGTCTTGTAACCTCTAAATCCGGCCTGGATCTTTGTAGCTGCTGCCTCTGCGTTGATTTGGTCTGCGTTAGATGAATCCGACGCCGCACGCTTTTCTGCCATGTGCTTGCGAGTAAGGTAGCCTCGGACACCAGCCTGTAGAGTCACAACTGCTTTTGTTAACGCTGGATCCTCTGGTCGTAGTTCTCTGTGCTGCATTCGCTCTTCGAGGACGCTGGCCATCAGGACGTCCCTCGTAAGGCTACCTCGCCGAGCTTCCTTTTGCGCTGCTTCCAGACTATCCCTCCGCTGCTGCAGTCCACGTGGCAAACTGCGGTAAGAAGGTTTGCCCGTCGTATTTTTCATATGTTTTCTCGTCTTGAAGCCGCGGAAAGCTGCCTGGATTTTCGTGGCTGCGGCATTTTCTTTGTCTTTGCTGCATGAACCTCTTCTTTTCGCCTTGCTTCTGCTATGTACAGGGCCGTTGGTGCGATGTTTTTTTATCTGTTGTCTTGTTCTGTAACCCCTGAAGATACTTTGAATCTTTGTTGCTGCAGTGTTGAGCTCTGTGATGTCAATAGGAGCATTCAGTCCACTCCGGTCTGGGGATGGGCTAGCATCTCTACTGGAGACATTAGACCAGTCGCTGTCACCAGCATGGACAACCTCCAATGTGTCTTTGTTATCAGATACTGAATCATCTAGGTCTTTGGCTTGGAGTACTGTGTTTGTTTCGGTATCTGTTACTATTATTGATGGTTCTACAATGTATCTGGTGCCTTCTTGCCCATTTGTTCTTTCAGCTGCTGCTTCAGCAAACTCCTTATCTTCATCACTATCCATCACCTTGCCATTAACAGTGTCCTGCTTTCCTTCATTGTTTTCATGACCATTCAGGTGAGTCTCATTCCCTTCACACTGACTTGGCTTAGGTGGATCAGCACCCTTCCTTGTTTTGAAACCTCTAAATGAAGCCTGAATTAAAGTAGCTGCTTTAAGAACCTCTGGATCATTCAAGTCAATGTCATCTATATCATCTTTCACAAGGGATTTGCAATCCTTAGCACTCCTCCGTGACTGGTAACCTCGGAATCTGGCCTGAATAAGCGATGCTGCTTTATGCAAGTCAGGAGCATCAAGATCAATGTCAAGTACCTCTGTTACCTTTTGCTCATGGGGATCACTTTTCAAATTTTGCCTTGTTTTGTAACCCCTAAATAATGACTGAATTTGAGTAGCTGCCTTTTCAAGTTCTGGATCATTGAGGTCAATGACATCATGATCTTCTGTGACTAGTGTATCTTTATTTAGATTTTGCCTGGTCATATATCCTCTAAATGATGCTTGGATCTGTGTTGCAGCCTTCTCTAATTCTGGATCATTTAAATCAATATATCCAAGCTCATTATCAGAAACCATGTAAAATTCATCTGGTTTTTGACTAGTATAAGACATCACAGAAATCATTTCTTGGTCAGAACCCTTTACATCAATGGCATCCAGTTCGTTCTCTTTCAGATTTTGTCTGGTTTTATAGCCTCTGAAAGAGGCTTGAATCTGGGTTGCAGCCTTTTCAAGTTCTGGGTCATTTAGATCAAGGTCAACTATCTCTTCTTCATTAGCTGGAGATCCATTCTCTTTCAGATTTTGTCTAGTTTTATAACCCCTGAAGGAAGCTTGAATTTGGGTTGCAGCCTTTTCAAGTTCTGGATCATTCAAGTCAAGGTCAACTACTTCTTCATTACCAGAAGGTTCATTTTCTTTCAGATTCTGTCTGGTTTTATAGCCTCTGAAAGAAGCTTGAATCTGGGTTGCTGCCTTTTCAAGTTCTGGGTCATTCAGGTCAAGGTCAACTATCTCTTCTTCATCAGCTGGAGATTCCGGAGATCCATTCTCTTTCAGATTTTGTCTGGTTTTATAACCCCTGAAAGAAGCTTGAATTTGGGTTGCATGCCTTTTCAAGTGTGCAGCCTTTTCAAGTTCTGGGTCATTCAGATCAAGATCAACTATCTCTTCTTCATTAGCTGGAGATCCATTCTCTTTCAGATTTTGTCTAGTTTTATAACCCCTGAAGGAAGCTTGAATTTGGGTTGCAGCCTTTTCAAGTTCTGGGTCATTCAGGTCTAGATCAACTATCTCTTCTTCATTACCAGAAGGTTCATTTTCTTTCAGATTCTGTCTGGTTTTATAACCCCTGAAGGAAGCTTGAATCTGGGTTGCTGCCTTTTCAAGTTCTGGGTCATTCAGATCAAGGTCAACTATCTCTTCTTCATCAGCTGGAGATTCCGGAGATCCATTCTCTTTCAGATTTTGTCTGGTTTTATAACCCCTGAAAGAAGCTTGAATTTGGGTTGCAGCCTTTTCAAGTTCTGGATCATTCAAGTCAAGGTCAACTACTTCTTCATTACCAGAAGGTTCATTTTCTTTCAGATTCTGTCTGGTTTTATAGCCTCTGAAAGAAGCTTGAATCTGGGTTGCAGCCTTTTCAAGTTCTGGGTCATTCAGATCAAGATCAACTATCTCTTCTTCATTAGCTGGAGATCCATTCTCTTTCAGATTTTGTCTAGTTTTATAACCCCTGAAGGAAGCTTGAATTTGGGTTGCAGCCTTTTCAAGTTCTGGGTCATTCAGGTCAAGATCAACTATCTCTTCTTCATTACCAGAAGGTTCATTTTCTTTCAGATTCTGTCTGGTTTTATAACCCCTGAAGGAAGCTTGAATCTGGGTTGCAGCCTTTTCAAGTTCTGGGTCATTCAGATCAAGATCAACTATCTCTTCTTCATTAGCTGGAGATTCCGGAGATCCATTCTCTTTTAGATTTTGTCTGGTTTTATAGCCTCTGAAAGAAGCTTGAATTTGGGTTGCTGCCTTTTCAAGCTCTGGGTCATTTAGATCAAGGTCAACTATCTCTTCTTCATCAGCTGGAAATTCTTCATTACCAGGTTTGTTTTCTTTCAGATTCTGTCTGGTTTTATGGCCTCTGAAAGAAGCTTGAATCTGGGTTGCAGCCTTTTCAAGTTCTGGGTCATTCAGGTCAAGGTCAACTATCTCTTCTTTAGCTGGAGATTGTCAGTTACCAGGTTTGTTTTCCTTCAGATTCTGTCTGGTTTTATGGCCTCTGAAAGAAGCTTGAATCTGGGTTGCAGCCTTTTCAAGTTCTGGGTCATTCAAGTCAAGGTCAACAGTTTCTTCTTCATTACCTGAAGGTTCATTTTCTTTCAGATTCTGTCTGGTTTTATAACCCCTGAAGGAAGCTTGAATCTGGGTTGCAGCCTTTTCAAGCTCTGGGTCATTCAGATCAAGATCAACTATCTCTTCTTCATTAGCTGGAGATTCTGGAGATCCATTCTCTTTCAGATTCTGTCTGGTTTTATAGCCTCTGAAAGAAGCTTGAATTTGGGTTGCTGCCTTTTCAAGTTCTGGGTCATTTAGATCAAGGTCAACTATCTCTTCTTCATCAGCTGGAGATTCATTACCAGGTTTGTTTTCTTTCAGATTCTGTCTGGTTTTATGGCCTCTGAAAGAAGCTTGAATTTGGGTTGCAGCCTTTTCAAGTTCTGGATCATTCAAGTCAAGGTCAACTACTTCTTCATTACCAGAAGGTTCATTTTCTTTCAGATTCTGTCTGGTTTTATAGCCTCTGAAAGAAGCTTGAATTTGGGTTGCAGCCTTTTCAAGTTCTGGGTCATTTAGATCAAGGTCAACTATCTCTTCTTCATCAGCTGGAGATTCCGGAGATCCATTCTCTTTCAGATTTTGTCTGGTTTTATAACCCCTGAAGGAAGCTTGAATCTGGGTTGCAGCCTTTTCAAGTTCTGGGTCATTCAGATCAAGATCAACTATCTCTTCTTCATTAGCTGGAGATTCCGGAGATCCATTCTCTTTCAGATTCTGTCTGGCTTTATAGCCTCTGAAAGAAGCTTGAATTTGGGTTGCTGCCTTTTCAAGTTCTGGGTCATTCAGGTCAAGGTCAACTATCTCTTCTTCATCAGCTGGAGATTCATTACCAGGTTTGTTTTCTTTCAGATTCTGTCTGGTTTTATGGCCTCTGAAAGAAGCTTGAATCTGGGTTGCTGCTTTTTCAAGTTCTGGGTCATTCAGATCAAGATCAACTATCTCTTCTTCATCAGCTGGGGATTCCCGAGATCCATTCTCTTTTAGATTTTGTCTGGTTTTATAACCCCTGAAGGAAGCTTGAATCTGGGTTGCAGCCTTTTCAAGCTCTGGGTCATTCAGATCAAGATCAACTATCTCTTCTTCATTAGCTGGAGATTCCGGAGATCCATTCTCTTTTAGATTTTGTCTGGTTTTATAGCCTCTGAAAGAAGCTTGAATTTGGGTTGCTGCCTTTTCAAGCTCTGGATCATTTAGATCAAGGTCAACTATCTCTTCTTCATCAGCTGGAGATTCTTCATTACCAGGTTTGTTTTCCTTCAGATTCTGTCTGGTTTTATGGCCTCTGAAAGAAGCTTGAATTTGAGTTGCTGCCTTTTCAAGCTCTGGGTCATTTAGATCAAGGTCAACTATCTCTTCTTCATCAGCTGGAGATTCTTCATTACCAGGTTTGTTTTCCTTCAGATTCTGTCTGGTTTTATGGCCTCTGAAAGAAGCTTGAATTTGGGTTGCTGCCTTTTCAAGCTCTGGGTCATTTAGATCAAGGTCAACTATCTCTTCTTCATCAGCTGGAGATTCTTCATTACCAGGTTTTTCCTTCAGATTCTGTCTGGTTTTATGGCCTCTGAAAGAAGCTTGAATTTGGGTTGCTGCCTTTTCAAGCTCTGGGTCATTTAGATCAAGGTCAACTATTTCTTCTTCATTACCAGGTTTGTTTTCCTTCAGATTCTGTCTGGTTTTATGGCCTCTGAAAGAAGCTTGAATTTGGGTTGCAGCCTTTTCAAGTTCTGGGTCATTCACTGAAGTTCATTCTCTTTCAGATTCTGTCTGGTTTTATAACCCCTGAAGGAAGCTTGAATCTGGGTTGCAGCCTTTTCAAGCTCTGGGTCATTCAGATCAAGATCAACTATCTCTTCTTCATCAGCTGGAGATTCTTCATTACCAGGTTTGTTTTCTTTCAGATTCTGTCTGGTTTTATGGCCTCTGAAAGAAGCTTGAATTTGGGTTGCTGCCTTTTCAAGCTCTGGGTCATTTAGATCAAGGTCAACTATCTCTTCTTCATCAGCTGGAGATTCTTCATTACCAGGTTTGTTTTCCTTCAGATTCTGTCTGGTTTTATGGCCTCTGAAAGAAGCTTGAATTTGGGTTGCTGCCTTTTCAAGCTCTGGGTCATTCAGGTCAAGGTCAACTATCTCTTCTTCTTTAGCTGGAGATTCAGGAGTTCCATCCTCTTTCAGATTCTGTCTGGTTTTATAGCCTCTGAAGGAAGCTTGAATTTGGGTTGCAGCCTTTTCAAGTTCTGGGTCATTCAGATCAAGGTCAACTGTTTCTTCTTCATTTCCAGAAGGTTCGTTTTCTTTCAGATTCTGTCTGGTTTTATAGCCTCTGAAGGAAGCTTGGATTTGGGTTGCAGCCTTTTCAAGCTCTGGATCATTCAGATCAAGGTCAACTGTCTCTTCTTCTTTAGCTGGAGATTCAGGAGTTCCATCCTCCTTCAAATTCTGTCTGGTTTTATAGCCTCTGAAAGAAGCTTGAATTTGAGTTGCAGCCTTTTCAAGTTCTGGGTCATTCAGGTCGATGTCAACTGTTTCCTCTTTATCAGCTGGAGATTCAGGAGATTCGTTCTCTTTCAGATTCTGTCTGGTTTTATAGCCCCTGAAAGATGCTTGAATTTGGGTTGCAGCCTTTTCAAGCTCTGGGTCATTCAGATCAAGGTCAACTGTTTCTTCTTCATTGACAGAAGGTTCATTTTCTTTCAGATTCTGTCTGGTTTTATAACCTCTGAAAGAAGCTTGAATCTGGGTAGCAGCCTTTTCAAGTTCAGGGTCATTTAGATCAATACCATCTAGCTCTTCAGTTAATGGGGATTCATGTTGATTCTCTTTTAAAGTCTGCCTTGTTTTATAGCCCCTAAAGGAAGCTTGGATCTGAGTTGCAGCTCTATTGAGGTCTGGATCACCGAGGTTGATATTGTCTAATTCTTCTGTTACAGATGGTGTAGTACAGTCTAAATTTTGTCTAGTTTTGTAGTCTTGGAAAGAAGCTTGGTTCTCTGTAGCAGCTTGTTCTTGTTGGGGATCACTGTAAACAGTATTACTGTCTTTTACTAATTGCTCTGAATTATCACCAAATCCATTATAAGAAGAATCCATAGTTTTTTGACTTTGCTTGCTCTTGTAACCATAAAAATCTGGCTGGGTGTTGGTAGGTGCAGGAATAAGCTCCTCCTCTCCATTTTTGGTGGCTACCTGGAAAATTTTAGCACATATCATTAGAAAAGTATAACTCAAAATGTATGTCATGAATTTAGAACATTCTCAAATTTGTTATTTTGATTCAAAATATAATTTACTGCTTAAAAAGTAGCTAAAATCTGAATATAATTTGAGCCAGAAATATAAGCAAATCTTTGATTGCTTTTTATTTTCCTTTGATGATGTAGTGGTCAGTTAACTTTTGAAGTAACAGTGAAAATTCTGACAATTTTAAAACATCAACAATCCAAGCATGTGAAGTAAAAGCAAAAACGTGACACTATGCGACAGAGAGACAGGCAGATATATAAAGGGTGAAACTAACTACATACTGTACAGATCTCTGGACAAGATGCTCTCCTGGAATATCATACATTTGAAAGTAAATAAAGAATAGTACTAAAGGGTAGTGCACATGCTCAGGTGTAGGGTTGGGATGTCACTGGTGGCGGCCATTACTACGTAATTATCAGTGCAGATGGCAGTTTTGTGCTTAGAATTTTGATGATCAATGTGAATTATGCCTTTTGCTATCATCCAACCTGTCTGTGATCATGACAAAAGGATAATTCTTTCCCTTTTGTGGTCTGAAGTGTCATTGTATGGTTTACAATAATTCTCGTCAGCAAAGTGCACAGTTTAATATTTATATGAGCTGGATAATATTGGTTCAGGTGTTTGATTGCTACCACATTTTGAGTGGCTCACCATGCATGTGAGCAGTGCTCATGACAATATTTCACCTCCTAAGAAGCTTGAAAGGAAGAGCAGTAGTCAGGGTCCTCCTCTTACATCCCCTCTATGAGGACAGAATGGCTAGGGTCTTCACTGGCCTTAGTCATGAGTCTGTTTAGGGTTTGAGTGTCATTTCGATCTCCATCAGATGATGCAAGAATTCTAGATTTCCTTTGTTTTTTCTTTTTGTGAAGTGTTGTTTTTGTGTCTTCTTTTAGGTGCTGGTTTTTGCTTTTAGAAGCTGCAGGCTCTTCTTTGGACAATACTTTGCTGTGTTTGTCTGGTATATTGCTGCTACTCTCCTCATACTGAGTCTCTTTGTCCTCATGTTCAGACATTTTTGAACATGAACACGAGCTATTTGAACGTGAGAACTTGCCGTCCGATACATTTCTCTCATTTTGTTCTACATGAACTAAATTTGGTGTATCATCTTGGTCACTGACACTAATATGAATAGGAGCTTTATCTTCTTTATTTTCATTAGTTACTTCCTTATTGAAAGTATTCTCCTCTTCTGAACCCTCTTTTCCATCATTTTTATCCATGTTCTCTTGCGTCTCTCCTTCAGCCCCCAAAGCAATGTGGGTGTCAGAGAGTGCATCACTCTGCCCACTGGGTGCACTGACTGAAGAAGCCCCTGGCAGGTCATTCTGTGCATCCGCTTTATATGGAGTAGGTGGTCGAGGTATTTGGAAATCACTCTCGGCTTTATTGTCTAAATTTGTATTATTGTCTGGCATCTGATGGAATTTTACTAACACTGGTTTATTAGGAATAATAGCCATTTTATTCTCATTCATTTCTAAATTCGTTTCTTCGCCATAGAGACCAGGGTCCTTGGAATTAGAAGCAATTGTCTGGGACTCTTCTGCTCTGGTTTCAGTGTTTTCTGCATTCTCATCTGATTTAACTGTATCATCAACTTTACTCAAAGATTTATTATCCTCGGTATCTGTAACTCCACTGACTGATTTATGTGCTTCTGGTCCATCCTCATCGTTTTTACTTTCTGTTGTAGAATTTGCATCACTTACCTTGGCTTCGCCTTCGCTTTTCTCTTCCTTGCTGCTAGCCTTGGTTTCAAAATCATCTACTCTACTCTCACTGGGATCACACTCAGCTTTAGCTTTGTCTAATAAATTCTGGGCATTTTCTACTTGGCAATCAGCTTCTGAAACAGCATTTTCAACTTCTACTTCTTTTTTGGCTGGTTCGCTTATTTTAACAGCATCAGCTAACCCAACATTCCCTTCTACCTTACCTTCATATGACATAAAGTCAGCTTGATCTTCATTCTCAGCATTAAAACCATCAGCACTGGCTTTAGTATCATTAACCTTGAATTCAAAAGAAGCCTTACTGTCAGGAACATCAGTTTTACCTTCAGTAACATCAACCATGGCTTTGCTATCATTACCTACAGGTTTACCATCATCAACCTTGGCTTCAGTATCATTGCCTTTGGCTTCAGTATCAATAGCGCTGCTTTTATTCTCGGTTTCAGTACTATCAGTCTTCGGTTCAGAACCCCCAGTCTTAGCTAGAGAATCACCAGTATCGGCTTCAGTTCTGTCGGTATTGTCTTCAGTATTATCGGTCTTGGCTTCAGTATCGTCAGCTTTTGCGTCAGAATCGTCAGTTTTAGCTTCAGCATTATCAGATTTAGCTCCACTGTCAGTAATCTTGGCTTCAAAGTCAGCCTTATCTTGAGTATCACCAGTATAATCGAGCTTATCTTTAGGATCATCAGGCTTGACCTCATCACTCTTCCCTTCAGTATCACCAGCCTTGGCTTCAGTAGTATCCCCTTTAGCTTCAGTTTCACCAGCTTTAGCTTCGGTGTTTTCAACCTTGGCTTCAGTATAATCAGCCGTAGTATTAGTATCTTCAACCTTGGCTCCAGAATCTCCAGCCTTGGCATCTGCCTTGACTTCAGTATCTTCAGCTTTGGATTCGCCAACTTGGGATTCAGCATCACCTAATTTGACATCAGAGTCGCCGGTCTTGGCTTCCACACCATCAGCCTTAGCTTCAGTGTCACCGGTATTGGCTTCGGCATCACCATCTTTGCCTTTAGTATCATCAACCTTGGTTTCAGAATCCCCAATCTTGGCTTCAGTATCTCCAGTCTTGATTTCAGCATCACCTGCCTTGGCTTCAGTAATATCGGTTTTAGTTTCAGTATTCTCGACCAGAGCTTCAGTACCATCAGCCTTACATTCAGACTCATCAACCTTCGCTCCAGTATCAGAAACCTTAGCTGCAGTATCACCTGCTTTGGCTTCAGTATTATCGGCTTCAGCTTCAGTATTATTAGCTTTAGGTTCAGTGTTATCAGCCTTGGCTTCAGCATCATCCAACTTGGCTTCTGTACTGTCAACCATAGCTCCAATGTCATCAGCCTTGGCTTCGGTATTAGCATCCTTGACTTCAGTATCATCAGCCTTGACCTCGACATCGGCTTCAGTAATACCAGCCTTGGCTTCAGTGTCCGCAGTCTTGGTTTCCGTATTATCAGCCACAGTTTCAGTGTCGTCAGCCTTGGCTTCGTTGTTCTTAGTCATGGCTTCCTTATTATCAGCATTGGCTTCAGTAATACCAGTCTTGGCTTCGATACTATCAGTCATGGCTTCAGTATTATCAACCTTGCTTTCAGTGTCCTCAGCCTTGGCTTCAGTATTAGCAGCATTGGCTTCAGTATTAGCAGCATTGGCTTCAGTATTAGCAGCATTGGCTTCAGTAGTACCAGTCTTGGCTTCAGTATTATCAACCTTGGCTTCACTGTCCTCCGCCTTAGCTTCAGTACTATCAACCTTGGCTTCAGTGTCTTCAGCCTTGACTTCAGTATTATCAGCCTTCGTTTCGGTATTATCTGGTTTCGCTTCAGTCTCACCAATCCTGCCTTCGGTCTCACTGGGCTTCGTTTCACTTTCATCTGCCTTGGCTTCAGTAGCATCTACCTTTGCGTCAGTAGCCGTTGTTTCAGCAGCTTCAGTATTGGCTTCACTTCCATCGGTTCCTACTTTACTATCATCGGTCTTGGCTTCAGCATTACTGGCCTTGGCTTCGGTATCTTCGGTATTCGCTTCAGTGTCATTATCCTTGGTTTCGTTAGCACCAGTCTTGGCTTCAGTATCATTACTCTTGGCTTCAGTGTCATAGATCTTGACTTCAGTATCATCACCTTTGGCTTCGTTATCATCCGTCTTGATTTCAGTATCATGAATATTGGCTGTAATATCACTACTTTTGGCTTCAGTATCCTCGGCCTTGGCTTCAGAATCCTCAGGCTTAACTCCATCATCAGCTGTAACTTCAGGACTAATTGCAATTGCTTCAGTATCATTACTCTTGGCTTCACTACATTCAACATTGACTTCAGAACTGTCGATCTTGGCCTCCCGTCCATCATTTTCGGCTTCAGTGTCGCCAATCTTGACTTCAGTACCGTCAGCCTTCGCTTCAGAAGTATCAGTCTTGGTTTCAGTAGCATCAATATTGGCTTCATTCTTAATTTCAGTATTGTCACCCTTTGCATTAGTACCATCGGTCTTAGCTTCAGAATCGTCAGCCTTGGCTTCAGTAACATCGAGCTTAGATTCAGCATTTTCAGGCTTAGCTTCGGAAGCATTAACATTGGCTTCAACCTTAGCTTCAGGATCGCCAGCCTGTGTTTCAGTAGCATCAATGTTAGTTTCGGAAGCATCAGCCTTGGCTTCAGTATTATTTGTATTGGCTCTAGCATCGTCAGCCTTAGTTTCAGTAACATAAATTTTGGCTTCAACCTTGGCTTCAGCATCGTCTGTTCTGGCTTCAGTAACATCAACATTGGTTTCTATCTTTGCTTCAGTGTCGTCTGCTTTGGCTTCAGGAACATCAATGTTGGATTCAACTTTTGTTTCAGTATTGTCAACTGTGACAATCTTTGCTTCAGTATCATCAGCCTTGGCTTCAGTTGCATCGATATTAGATTCAGCCTTAACTTCAGTGACATCAGTAATAGCTTCAGGCTTCACTTCAATAGCATCGGCATTAGCTTCAGCCTTGACTTCAGTAATATCGGCATTAGCTTCAGGCTTCACTTCAGTAACATCGGCATTAGCTTCAGCCTTGACATCAGTGACATCGGTATTAGCTTCAGCCTTGACTTCAGTAACATCGGTACTAGCTTCAGGCTTCACTTCAGTTACATCGGTAGTAGCTTCAGCTTTGACTTCAGTGACATCGACATTAGCTTCAGGCTTCACGTCAGTGACATCGGCATTAGCTTCAGCCTTGACATCAGTGACATCGGCATTGACTTCAGGCTTCACGTCAGTGACATCGGCATTAGCTTCAGGCTTCACTTCAGTGACATCATTATTAGTTTCAGCCTTGAATTCAGTGACATCGGCATTGGCTTCAGTCTTCACGTCAGTGACATCGGCATTAGCTTCAGCCTTGACATCGGCATTGCCTTCAGGCTTCACTTCAGTGACATCGGCATTGCCTTCAGGCTTGACTTCAGTGACATCAGCATTGGCTTCAGGATTGACTTCAATGACATCGGCATTGGCTTCAGGCTTCACATCAGTGACATCGGCATTGGCTTCAGCCTTGACTTCAGTGACATCGGCATTAGCTTCAGCCTTGACTTCAGCTACATCGGTAGTAGCTTCAGGCTTCACTTCAGTGACATCGGCATTAGCTTCAGCCTTGACTTCAGTGATATCGGCATTGCCTTCAAGTTTCACGTCAGTGACATCAGCATTAGCTTCAGGCTTCACGTCAGTGACATCTGCATTGGCTTCAGCCTTGACTTCAGTGACATCGATATTGGCTTCAGGCTTCACTTCAGTTACATCGGCATTGCCTTCAGGCTTCATTTCAGTGACATCGGCATTGGCTTCAGGCTTCACTTCAGTGACATCGGCATTGGCTTCAGGCTTCACGTCAGTGACATCGGCATTGGCTTCAGGCTTCACTTCAGTGACATCGGCATTGGCTTCAGGCTTCGCGTCAGTGACATCGGCATTGGCTTCAGCCTTGACTTCAGTGACATCGGTATTGCCTTCAGGCTTCACTTCAGTGACATCGGCATTAGCTTCAGGCTTCACGTCAGTGACATCGGCATTGCCTTCAGGCTTCATTTCAGTGACATCGGCATTGGCTTCAGGCTTCACGTCAGTGACATCGGCATTGGCTTCAGGCTTCACTTCAGTGACATTGACATTAGCTTCAGCCTTTACTTCAGTGACATCGGCATTAGCTTCAGCCTTGACTTCAGTTACATCGGCATTGCCTTCAGGCTTCACTTCAGTGACATCGGTAGTAGCTTCAGGCTTCACTTCAGTGACATCGGCATTGCCTTCAGGCTTCACTTCAGTGACATCGGCATTGCCTTCAGGCTTCACTTCAGTGACATCGGCATTGGCTTCAGGTTTCACGTCAGTGACATCGGCATTGGCTTCAGGTTTCACTTCAGTGACATCGGTATTGGCTTCAGCCTTGACTTCAGGGACATCGGCATTGGCTTCAGGCTTCACGTCAGTGACATCGGCATTGGCTTCAGGTTTCACTTCAGTAACATCGGTAGTAGCTTCAGCTTTGACTTCAGTGATCTCGGCATTAGCTTCAGGCTTCACTTCAGTGACATCGGTAGTAGCTTCAGCCTTTACATCGGCATTAGCTTCAGCCTTGACTTCCGTTACATCGGCATTAGCTTCAGGCTTCACTTCAGTGACATCGGTAGTAGCTTCAGGCTTCACTTCAGTGACATCGGCATTAGCTTCAGCCTTGACTTCAGTGACATCTGTAGTAGCTTCAGCCTTGACTTCAGTGACATCGGTAGTAGCTTCAGCCTTGGCTTCAGTGATATCGGCATTAGTTTCAGGCTTCACTTCAGTGACATTGGTAGTAGCTTCAGGCTTCACTTCAGTGACATCGGCATTAGCTTCAGGCTTCACTTCAGTAACATCGGTAGTAGCTTCAGCCTTGGCTTCAGTGATATCGGCATTAGTTTCAGGCTTCACTTCAGTGACATTGGTAGTAGCTTCAGGCTTCACTTCAGTGACATCGGCATTAGCTTCAGGCTTCACTTCAGTAACATCGGTAGCAGCTTCAGCCTTGACTTCAGTGACATCGGTAGTAGCTTCAGCCTTGGCTTCAGTGATATCGGCATTAGTTTCAGGCTTCACTTCAGTGACATCGGTAATAGCTTCAGGCTTCACTTCAGTGACATCGGCATTAGCTTCAGGCTTCACTTCAGTAACATCGGTAGTAGCTTCAGCCTTGACTTCAGTGACATCGGTAGTAGCTTCAGCCTTGGCTTCAGTTATATCGGCATTAGTTTCAGGCTTCACTTCAGTGACATCGATAGTAGCTTCAGCCTTGGCTTCAGTGATATCGGCATTAGCATCAGGCTTCACTTCAGTGACATAGGTAATAGCTTCAGGCTTCACTTCAGTGACATCGGCATTAGCTTCAGGCTTCACTTCAGTAACATCGGTAGTGGCTTCAGCCTTGACTTCAGTGACATCGGTAGTAGCTTCAGCCTTGGCTTCAGTGACATCGGTACTAGCTTCGGCCTTGACTTCATTGTCATCAGTATTAGCTTCAGCCTTGGTGTCGATGGTATCAGTCTTTACTTCAGCTTTAGCTTCGGTATCGCTAGTCTTACTTTCTGTAACATCTGTGTTGACTTCATCCTTTGCTTCAGTATTGCCAGGCTCTCCTTCAATGGCATTAGTCTTGGCTTCAGTAGCATCAACTTTAGATTCAGTAACATCAATCTTAGCTTCAGCTATATCTTCAGTAGCATCAGTCTTCGCTTCAGCATCATTAGCCTTGGCTTCAGTAGCATCAATCTTGGCTTCAGCCTTGACATCAGTATCGTCAGTCTTTGCTTCGCTAGCATCAGCCTTGGCTTCAATATCATCAATCTTGGCTTCATCATCGTCAGCCTTTGCTTCAGCACCACCAGCCATGGCCTCAATACTATCAGCCTTGGCTTCATTATCATCAATATTAGCTTCAGAATTATCAGCCTTTGCTGTAGCACCATCAGCCTTGGTCTCAGTATCATCAGCCTTGGCTTCAGTATCATGAGCTTTAGTTTCTATATTTTCAGCCTTGGCTTCAGCTTTGGTTTCAGTTTCCTTGGCTTCATTACTATCAATATTTGCTTCAGCATCACCCGCCTTGGCTTCTATATATTCAGCTATAGATTTATCTACAGCATTATCCGTCTTTGCTTCAACCGTATCAGCAGTGGCTTCAGTATCATCCGTCTTGGTTTCAGTATTATCAGCCTTCGTTTCAGTATCACTAGCCTTGGGTTCTGCATAATCCGCCTTTGCTGCAGTATCGTCAGTCTTAGCTTCAGTAGAATCTGTCTTTGCTTCAGTTGCATCAATCTTGGCTTCAGTATCATCAGTCAGAGCTTCAGTACTATCAGCCTTAACGTTAGTATCACCAACGTTAGGTTCGATATTGTCCAACTTGGTGTCCGTGTTATCAATTTTTGCTTCAGAAATGTCACCAGTCTTGCCTCCTGTGTCGCCAGCCGTGCTTCAACATCCTCTTGGGTTCTTTCAGTACTATCAGCCTTAACGTTAGTATCACCAACGTTAGGTTCGATATTGTCCAACTTGGTGTCCGTGTTATCAATTTTTGCTTCAGAAATGTCACCAGTCTTGCCTCCTGTGTCGCCAGCCGTGGCTTCAACATCTCTTGGATTCTCTGCAATATGATCAACCTTGGCTTCAGTATCAGCCTTGGCTTCAGAGTCATTAACATTGATTTCCGTCGTTATTCTATTTTCAGCTTTTATTTCACTGTCTCCTGCCTTGATTTCAGCAATGTCAGTCTTGGAGTAAAAACTATTTAAGCTGGTTTCTGCTTTAACGAAACTGACTTCAGCATCATTGGCTTTGCTTTCAGTACTATCGGTCTTGGCACTATTTTGGTCATCCTTGACATCAGGAATATTTCCGGAACCTGTTCCATTGACTTTCACTTGGGTATCAGGTGTGACTTCCACTTGATGTTCAGTATCGTCTTTCTTATTAGCGTCGTCTGTTCTGAAGTCAGTATTATCAGCGATGACATCATTTTCATTAACCTTGATATCAGTAAAATCTGCTCTGAAGTCAGTGTTATCTTCATTCATGATTTCTGTTGGGGTCATTACTTCAGAAACATAAATTTTGACTTCAACATTTTCTTTGCCTTCAGTGACATCAGTCGTGACTCCAGATTCAGCATTCTTCAGTTCAGTATCATCTGCTTTGGTTTCGGGATTATCAGTCTTGACTTCAGTAGTGTCAGGTTTGGTTTCAATATTATCGGTACTAACTTCTAAGTTATCCGTCTCATTGGGTTTGACTTCAAAATCGTTGTTTTTTACTTCTGCATTGTCAGTCTTAACTTTATCATCTCTGACATTTTTGGCCCCAGTGTCAAGTACATATTTTGCTCTGTCTATCGAACCAGTAACATTATTCAATGGCATATAAAATTGATACAGTGGTTTTCGATCATCCGCATAATTATCTCTTAGCAAGTGTTTTTCATGAGTGTCAGGAATATGTACAGGCTCATGGCTCTGCTCCACTTGCTTTTCAAGCATGGGTGATTCTTGCTTCTGATGTGTGTCAGAAGTTTCTAGCGATTCTCCATTCTGCTCAATTTGCTTGCCAAACAGAGGTGAAGGCTCCCGGTCTTGACTCTCAAATGAGTTCGTTGGTTCGAGGTCCTGTTCTGCTGCTTTGTCAGACATAGATTCTTGCTCCTGATTTTGTTTATGTGTATCAGGAGTTTGTTGTAGTTCTAGGTCTTGTCCTGTTTGTATGAATTGTAAGTGTTCTTGGTCCTGTTTCTCGTTTGCGTTAAGAGATTGTAGTTCCTGGTTCTGTGGCGTCTGTTTGTCAGGCACAGGGGAATGCTCTTGGCCTTGTGTCATATTTGCATAAGTTTCATGTATATCTTGGCTTTGTTCCGTTTCCTTGTCAGACTCTTGGTCTTGTGTCTCAAACGTAAAAGAAGTTTGTACTGATTCGAGGTCCTGTTCTGCTTGTCTGTCCGATGATAAAGGTGGTTCCGTGTCTGCTTCGATTTTTAAGCTGGACTGCAGGGTGAAGTGCGATGGACATCAGCAAGGGCAGCCGGGAGAAAATTTAGCACATTAGTTTGGCTTTGGACACCACCAGTGGGCCCACTAATAGTTGTGATGGTTAAGGAGGATATTGAAAAAGAAATATAGTTGACCATATTCCAGATATTCAACAACTTTGTTGCCCTAAGAAATTTAAACTACCAACATTATATTTTTAAAATGCACTTGGCATGCAAAGGTTAATTTCTGGAATCTGGACATCTTGCATATGATATTTCTATGCAATAATATCTCTACACCAAAGTAATTACTGTTAAAATACTAAGTAGCTAGACATGCAAGGACTTTAAAAAGTATTAGTATTAGAAGTCCTTGCTTCTAAGCAAACATGGACGATTAGAAAACAACAAGGAAAATATAGAAAAATTAGTTGTAATAATACACAAAAAGCAAAAGTAGCTACAATGAAATAAAATATATTCAGTAACTTCCTAAGTACATATACAGAGTACGTTGAAATAGGCAGTTAGTAAGCCTGCCTAAAATGAAAGGTAGGAAAAAAATCAAATTATCGCATATTGAAGATTGTAAATATTAAACCCTAACAATGTGCAAATATGTATCGTAACGTGTCTTGCTGCAGAATGCTAGTCATCCGCAGTAATTCGCCAAAAGAAAGGAGAAATGAACACAGATCCATCCATGGTCGTTAATTCATAGGACAGACTATTTTCACATTAACGATTGCCGTGTAATTCGCCTGGAATAGTCTTAGGATGACCCATTTCTGTCTTTAAACGTGTATGCATAAGCGCTTCAAACAACTGTGATATGAACATTGACACACAACAATTTACATTCGTATGTAAAAATGAAAGATATCCGTGCAAATCTTAGTGCGACTCTGCATGGACATGGTGCGATAGTGACTATTCACAACGATGAACACTAAGGAACACACCGGTGATTGAAGAATAAGTAACCGAGTGAGAACGCATCATAACAGTTCTGGAGAGCATCGAGTGCTTTAAAACACCACAGATAATTAGCAAAATAAATTCGTTTGATTGTTCGAAGCGTTACAGATGCACGATAATCATCTTTACTATTATTTTTTTCCCTTGTTTTGCATTACTGTTTAAACGCATTCATTCTGGTGTTAAATTGCGCTTTTTTTTAACAAGACAAGTATGTTACTGAACGTGTATCTGTAACACTTTGATCTTTCATCCAGTAACCATTCGCTGAGAATGACCATCATCTGCCAAGTGAGAGGGTCGCCCACTCACCCAGGCGCCAGTATAGCAGGTTACCCGATATTATTCCCTGACCCCGTTACAAAGTTTTTGATGTCCTCTTTGACCTCACTGAAGAACCTCCTGAAGCCAAAGCCAGGTCTTTGTTGTTGCTGAGGCT